CATCCTGTGTCACATGTGAGCTTCCTCTCCAACACATTGCACACACATACATACACTCACACGCACACAAACACTAACAACAACAATAAAAACAGGTAGTGTTTTTCCTGATAATTGGTCAATGACCCAGAAAGGGCTCTGATCTGAGCAGTCTGGTTCATCTCTCCCTAGGGAGATGAGTCACCACCAATCAGATTACATGGACTGAAGAGAATTAGCATGAAACACGGAGAGAAATTTTCCCAATAGGAAGACATTGTAAATAGACAGGAAATAGTGTTTTCTGTAGTGACTACAAAGCTTGGGTTGGATGTAGTGGCTTGTGTTTAAAGTCCTGGGCCTTGCAAGTCTGAAGCAATAGAACTACCTCAAGTTTGAGGCCAGTAATTCTATGTCATCAAGGGCTACAGAGTGAGATACTGTCTCAAACAAATAAATGAAATAGAAAATAAGAAAAGAAAAAGCTTAAGAATTAATAAAGTCAGTAAAGGATTAAAAAATTACACTTTAACCTGGAGACATGGCTCAGTGATTAAGAACACTGGTTGTTTTTCCAGAGGTCCTGAGTTCAGTTCTTAGCAACCACATGATGGCTCACAACCAGTTGTAATAAATCTGATTTCCTCTTCTGGTGCACATGAAATATACATAAAATAAATAAACCTTTAAAAAATTACATTTTAAAATTAATGAATGTTAAGTGAGGCATGGTGGTGCATGCCTTTAATCCCAGCATTCAGGGAGGCAAGAGGCAGGCGGATCTCTATGAGTTTGAGGCCAGCCTGCTCTACAAAGCAAGTCTAGGACAGCCAGGACTACAAGAGAAACCCTGTCTCAAAAAACCAAAAACAAACAACACCCCCAAAACTCTAATGAATGTTTATTATTGTGCTAGTTATAATAGTCAAGATATGGAACCAGCCATGATACCTTTTCAACAGTTGAAAAGATAAAGATTATATTTATAAATATATGTGTATATATATTTGTATGTATGTATATGTATGTATATTATGTAGTTTTATTCACCCTTAAAGAAGAATGAAATTATGTTATTTTCAGGAAATTGTATGGAACTGAAGATCACCTTAAGTGAAATAAGCCAGTGTCACAGAGACAAATATCTCATGTTTTTCTTTCGTTTTTCAAATTAAAATTTTATATTAATTACATTAATTAATCACATTAATTAATTATATTATGTTAATTATATTAATTACAGTTTATTTACTTTGTATCCCAGCTGTAGCCCCTCCCTCATTCTCTTCCAAACCCTCCCTCATCTCCTCCCTGCCTCTCTCTAAGTCCATTGATAGGGGAGGTCCTCCCCCTTTCCATCTGACCCTAGCTTATCAGGTCTCATCAGGACTGGCTGCATTGTCCTCTGTGGCCTAGCTAGGCTGCTCCTCCCTCAGGGGGAGGGGGAAGTCAAAGAGCCAGCCACTCAGTTCATGTCAGAGACAGTCCACTTGGATACTGAGCTGCCATGGGCTACCTCTGAGCTGGGGTTCTAGGTTATATCCATGTATGGTCCTTGGTTAGAGAATCAGTCTCAGAAAAGACCCCTGTGCCCAGATATTTGGTCCTTGTGGAGCTCCTATCCTCTCCAGGTTTTACCTACTCTCCCTTCTTTCATATGATTCCCTGCACTCTGCCCAAGGTTTAGTTATGAGTCTCAGCATCTGCTTTGATACACTGCTAGGTAGAGTCTTTCAGAGGCCCTATATGGTAGGCTCCTGTCCTGTTTCTTGTTTTCTCCTACTTCCAATGTCCATCCCATTTGTCTTCCTAGGTAAGGATTGATCTTCTTACCCAGGGTCCTCCTCCTTGTTTAGCTTCTTTAGGTGTACAGATTTTAGTATGTTTATCCTATCTTTTAGGTCTAGTATCCACTTATAAGTGAGTATATACCATGTGTGTCTTTCTGCTCCTGGGATACCTCACTCAGCATGATCTTTTCTAGATCCCATCATTTGCCTGCAAATTTCATGATTTCCTTGTTTTTAATTGCAGAGTAATATTCCATTGTGTAAATTTACCACCAATTTCTGTATCCATTCCTCCATTGAGGGACATCTGGGTTGTTTCCAGATTCTGGCTATTACGAATAAAGCTGCTACGAACCTGGTTGAACAAATGTCCTTGTTGTGTACTTGAACATATTTTGGATATGTGCCTAGGAGTGGTATAGCTCGATCTTGAGGAAGCACTGTTCCTAATTGTCTGAGAGAGTGCCAGATTGATTTGTTTTGTCTCATTTGTAATATCTAGATTTAAATATGCATATGTCTATATGTACATATGTACATGTCTGTGACATGAAAATATAAGGGGGACTGAGGAAAGAGGAAGAGATTCAGAGGGAGAGGAAATGGGGAAACAAGGGTAGGTAGTGGGAGGAAGAAACTTAGAATACCACGTTTTCTGTCCAGCAGAATGTGGACTTAACTGCATACATTCTCATGGCATGAAAACAGAAGGGGGAAGTACTTGGAGAAAGGAGGGGGACTAGTGGGAAAGATGGAGGAAGGTTTATCTAGTGAAACTTATTTTTTTTTTCCAGTTTTGTGGGTCTTTGTTTTTGTTTGTTTGTTTGTTTGTTTGTTTTTGTTTTTGGTTAGTTCTGTGGAAAGTGCTCTACCATTGAACTATATATATACTCCTTAGCTAGTAAATCATAAGGTTTCTGTTTGTTATTTATAAAGTTTTCTATGTAAATTGTAGCTTTTACTCTGAGACTTTTGTTAATGCTTTGTTTTACAAACATTTTAGAACCTGCTATATGCTGTTATCACTTTTCCTACTAGGGTTCTATCAGTATATAAAACAATGCCTTTATGAAACATGCATTGTAGCAAGGACAGGCATATATTAAATAAGGTAAATTGGTAAAATACTCACTATGGAGTATGAGAGTAGGCTGTGGACATACAAATTTGAAGTTCAGGTTTAGACTAGAGATAGAAATTTGGAAGCTGTCAGCATATAGTTATTTAAAGCAATAAAAATGGATGAGCTCACTAAAGAAAAGAGAAAACAAGGAGGGCCGGGGAGATGGCTGACTGGTAAATAACTTGCTGTACAAGTGTAAGGACCTGAGTTTGAATCCTAAGTACCCATATAAAACCCTGGCAAGGTAGCGTAGCTTGGTGATCCCAGCACTCCTACAGTGAGATGGCTTCCCACACAGGAGAATCCCTGGAGGCTTGTGGGCCAGCCAGCCTGTCACAAACAGTAGTGAACAAGAAAAAGACATTGACCTAACCCAGTACCACAAGTTGTCCTCTGACTTCCACAGGTGCATGTGCCCTTACATATGAACACACACAGCCTACAGAGTGAACGAGGAGGAAGCCAGCTGCTATCGAACTGGAATCCCACTTGCTTAGGAGGGAGGCTGAGGTAGGGAGATTGTTAACTTTAGGCTATCTTGGTAATATAGTAAGGTCCCACTTTAAAAAACAACCTAACAGGGCTATTAAGATATGTAAGTGGGATGCCGGAAAGATGGCTCAGTGGTTAAGAGCACTGGCTGATTTTCCAAAGGACCCAGGTTCAATTCCCAGTACCCACATGGCAGTTCACAACTGTCTGTAACTCCAGTTCCAGGAGATCTGACACCTTCAAACACACACATACAAGCAGGAAGAATGAAATAAAAATAAATCATTAAAGAAAAAAAAGATAGCTAAGTGGATAAAGACGTTGTTTCCAGCAATGAAAGCTAGAGATCTGAGTTCCATCCCTAAAACCCATCTAAAGGTAGAAGGAGAGAACAGACTCCATAAGATTGTCCTCCAACATGCATGCAGTAACACACGTGTGTATGTATACATATAAGTTTTTAAAAATTTAACAAAGCAACAAAAAAGAGAACCAAAAATGAGTTCAAGGATGGAGTTTCAATTCACACTTCAGTGTGAAGAAATTGAGAAGTAACTAGTAAAGAGCACAAGAAAGAACAACCAGAAAATAGAGGAAACGAAGAAAGCCCAAATTAAAAAAAAAAAAAAAGCAGTTGTTAGATGCTGCTGTAAGATGCAGAATGAGATTTAGTGATTTCATTTCACCAATCTTTTCTTAAATTATATTTGATTGGTAGTAATATTCCTAAGCTAGATTTAAAAAAAAATTTAAGCCAACATCATTAGGTTAATTCACAAAATTACTTGTGGCTGATTTTATTTATTTGTTTTGACTGTTGGAAATACAACTCCTGCGTCCTATTGAGCTACATCAAGCTATACTCCAATCCCAATATCTCTTGTTAAATAATCAGTTAACATATTATTTTGTTATTTTTTGTCTCTTTTGTACATACTATAGATTAAAGATTTTTCAACTCAAAATGAATATGCAAGTATACTAAAAGATTTATTTGTAGTGGAATATATATATATTTCCCTTGGGGAATGTGAAATAACACCTTACTAAATAAATTGGGTTTTTTGTTTTGTTCTTACTTCTGTATTTGTAGGTTTTAGGTATAATATTAGAGAGGCATAAAATCAACTGAATTTCATGATTTTGAGATTTTCTTAGACATTAATATATATGTGTGTATTAGATTTTTTTTTTAATTTTTGTGTGTGTGATGGCATGCATGCATAGGGTCAAAGGACAAATTTTGGGAGTTTGTTTTCTTCTACAATGTGGGAATCAAATTCAGGTCATCAGACTCAGTGGCAGATGCTTTTATTGAGTCCTACTGCCAGGTCTTTGTTGTTGTTGAGTTGGGATTTTTGCATGTCTGTGTACCACATGTGTGCCTGGTACCTTTGGAGGTCAGAGAAGGGTGTCAGATCCCCTGGGACTGAAGTTACAGAAGGAAGTAAGCTGCCATGTGGGTACTAGAACCAGAACTGGGGTCCCCTGGAACCGGTAGTGCACTTAACTTGAGCCATCTCTTCAATCCCTTATTACCTTTGAAATACAGGTGTTGAAAAATATAAAATAGATTGCATTCCAATAGTTAAAAGTATATTGTTCTTCTTTATTAGAAATTCATTGAATTTGAAGACTCTCAAGAACAGGAAAAAAAAGATTTGCAGACACGAGTGGAGTCTCTAGAATCTCAAACAAGACAACTTGAACTCAAAGCAAAAAACTATGCTGACCAGAGTAAGTAAAATGCTTTTCTCCTCATGAAAGAGTGGACTCCTGTGGGGAGTGGTTTGCCCTGACATTTGACAAGGGCTCCGAATATGTGCTTGGAATTGCTATCACAGAATCAAGTGTGAGATCTGGATGCCCATATTAATATTAATTCTTTATGTTCCATTTCACATGACACCCCTGTATGCACAAAGGGCTGACTGAGAGACACTTGCTAGGCTTACTTCTTCAGTCGTCAGCCTGTTTGTAGTCAGGCTGTCTTTGTCATGCAGATACATGTACCTGACGTTGATGAAGCACACACAGTTCCATTGTTTTCGCATTGCTTTGAGATTTATCAATATAAGAGAAACCAGCTTTGAAGTATGTATAAAAAGTGACTATTTTGTTACTCTCTGATGAAAAGGTAAAGGTAATTTAGGGTAGCAGAAATTTATTTTTCAGATTCATTTTTAAAAACTTCAAAATTTTTTTAGGTTTATTTTATGTGTGAGTGTTTAGCTGCTTGCAAGTATATATGTGTACTGTGTGCATGCCGTGTGCCCTTGCAGGTCAGAGGGCAGCAGATCCCTTGGAACTGGAATTAGGGAAGGCTGTAAGCTGCCCTGTGGGTGCTGGGAATCCAACTCTGGCAAGAGCAGCCAATGCTCTAAATTGCCAGCCATCTCTTCAACCTCTCAGATTCATTTTTGATATAATTTCATGTTAAATTATTTCAAATCTAATGGATAATTTTGCCTTCTGTTAATGACAATTTTTAAAAAGTGAAATTCATAAAAAGAAGTGGTGAAAATTATAAAAAGTGGTGAGCAACTTCCTGATCTATTTTCTTTAAATTTAAACTAAGTTTATTTATTTGTGGGGCAGGGCACCCGTGGCATGGTGTTCATGTGGATGTCAGATGACAACCTGGAAGAATTCATTATCTTCTTCTGCCATGTGGGTCCTGGGGACTGAACTTGTGTCATCAAGCTTGGTGGCAAGCACCAAAGAGCCAGATTGCCATAACAATATAAATATCATATTATGATATATAACAATAACATATCAGTTATGGTTCTCACATCACTCTGTTAGGAGTTTATACCAACCTGTTGTATTTTGTTTTTCTGAGGTGGGGGTCTCATTGTGTATGTAGCCAGTCTGGTCTCAAACATCCTCCTTCGTAGTGCTAGGTTATAGGTGTGCGCCTCCATGCTGGATGAGATACCTGCTGTTAAGAAACTGCAGTTGTCGTGGATGACTTTCAACACCAGAGAGTGAAGTGTGTGTGAGAAGGAACTAAGAGCACCCTGTAAAACTCTAGAAGGGCCTGACTGAGCTAAATGCAAGACGGTAGGAATTTGGAGCTCAAACACTAGGCTTCAAGAATTCACAGGGCTGTTTACCAGATATTATGGAGTTCCATTAGACATTTGGTTCCAGATGCTAATGAGCTGTATCCCATGACCTTGTGGTTTTAGGTTTGAGGATACATAAGAGTTGTATAGCTTTCCTTGGTTAATGAAGAAGTCAGTGGTTTCTATGATTTTGCTGTAAACTCTCCTATAGGAAGTTTAAGCACCAGCCAGGTGTGGTGGCACATGCCTGTAATCCCAGCACTAGGGAGGCAGAAACAGGCAGGTCTCTGTGAGTTCAAGACCAGGACAGCCAGGACTACACAGAAAAACCCCGTCTCAAAATAGAAAGAAAGAAAGAAAGAAAGAAAGAAGGAAGGAAGGAAGGAAGGAAGGAAGGAAGGAAGGAAGGAAGGAAGGAAGGAAAGAGAAAGAAGAAGAAGAAGAAAGAAAGAAAGAAAGAAAGAAAGAAAGAAAAGAAAAAGAAGCCCGAGCACTTACTGAGCTTGTGGAGGGCTGGAACACACATTGATTGATGTAATCCATACTGTGAATGCTACTCTGGAAAAACAGTTTGTGGCAGTAGTGCTTGGTAGACTTTAAGAGTCGAATACCTTATATTCGAAGAAGAAAATTTGGCTGTTTCTTTGAGGCAGTCTTACGTTGTAGCCCGGGTTTCTGGAATTCATGTAGTTCGTGCTGTCCTTGAGCACAGCAGCAGTCCTTTCAACCTCCCAAGTGCTAGGAGGACAGGTGTGAACATGCTCAAAACAATTTGGTTAGTGAAGATATTTTAATCCTAAATTGATTATACCTTTATATTAGGAATTACATGGTATTCTAAAACTATACAATAAAGACATGGTAGAACCAAACAAAATTTTACCAATTTGCTGAGTGGTGGTGGTGCACACTTTTTATCCCAGCACTCAGGAGGCAGAGGCAGGTTGAGGTCAGCCTGGTATACAGCTCAAGTTCTAGGACAGCAGGGCTGTTACACAAAGAAATCCTGTCTTGAAAAACAAAAAAAAAAATTTTGTTATTTTAATACTTCTTTTTCTTGATTCGTACAAAGTACTGTTTTCAGTAGAACCTTTTCTTTTGACTTGAAAAAGAATTGCTTATCTAAAATCTTTAGACATTTTAGTTTAAGAAATTAGAGCTAAATTTGTTTTATACTCAAAGTTGAATTTTTAAGAAAGATGACTTTGTTTTTGTATGTATGTATGTATGTAGGTAGGTAGGTAGGTAGGTAGGTAGGTAGGTAGGTAGGTAGGTAGGTAGGTAGGTATGAGTGCCTGGTGCTTGAGGAGGGTGTCAGATAACTGCGGCCATGTGGGTGCCAGGAACCAGCCCTGGTCCACTGCAAGAGCAGCAGTTGCTCGCTCTTTCTTTTTCTTTCTTTCTTTCTTTCTTTCTTTCTTTCTTTCTTTCTTTCTTTCTTTCTCTCTCTCTCTCTCTCTCTCTCTCTCTCCCTCCCTCCCTCCCTTTCTCCCTTCCTTCCTTCCTCCCTCCCTTCCTTCCTTCTCTGTTTTTTTGTTTGTGTTGGTTTGGTTTTTGGTTTTTTTGAGACAGGATTTCTCTGTGTAGTCCTGGCTGTCCTGGATTCAATTTGTAGACCAGGATGGCCTCAAACTCACAGAGATCCACCTGCCTTTGCCTCCCTGAGTGCTGGGAATATGAGCACTCACCTGCAGCAGATGCTCTGAACCTCTGAACTGTCTCTCCAGACTCTGAAATAATTTTTTTTTAATTTGATGATTTGTCTGTTGCAGTGCATTACTCCCTCAATTCCCCACCTTAAGTACATTAGTCTTTTATCATTAAAAAACAAAACAAAACAAAACTTTACATTCTAATGAATGTAAACAAAACATACTTTTTTTTTTTTTTTTTTTTTTTTTTTTTGGCTTTTCAAGACAGTTTCTCTGTGTAGCCTTGGCTGTCCTGGAACTTACTCTGTAGACCAGGCTGGCCTCAAACTCAGAGATCCACCTACCTCTGAATCCTGAGTGCTGAGATTAAAGGTGTCCACCTCCACCACTCAGGCAAACATACCTTCTTATAAGAGAATGTTTTGAATGTCTTTGTTCTTTTCATTGGCCTAGGTTTGTTCTTTAGCTTAGTGAATCACAGTCAGTGTTTTGGAATTGTCAGGTATATGGAATCCATTCTCATTTCTCTCTTCAGAAGTATTCATTATCATTTTTTAATTTTAGTTCCAATATTTATTTAAAAAATAAGTGTTAATAACATTGTATTCTTTGGAAGAAATGAGGAGATTCTTTACAAATATTGAAAATAGTTTTGAAAAAAAATAGTTTTGAGCTCAATTTGAATTGAAAACTTTTGTTTCTTGCTTTGAGACATGGTCTCACTATTATAGTCCTAGCTGTCCTTGAACTTGGAATCTACATTCTGCTTTCATCCCCTTCCAACTGCTGGGATTATAGGTATATACCATCACCATCATACTCAACAGTTTAACTGTCAGCTTCAGCTTCCTGGGCGCTGGAACTGCAGGAGTCTATCACTACTGTTGACCTTTTTTGTATCTATGTCTATTTCTGCCAAGAGTGCCTTACATAACAAAGTAAGCTGATAAAGCCATAGAGAGCAAGCCAGTGAGCAGCATTTCTCCATGACCTCTGCTTGGAGTTTCTGTCTTGACTTTCTTCCATGTGAACTGTGATTGTGATGAGAAACCCAAATAAACCCTTTTTCTTCCCACGTTGCTTTTGTCATGGTGTTTTGTCAATGCAATAAGAAGCAAACTAGGACCAGAATTATGGGATATTGCTGTGACAGACTTGACTGTGTTGTTTTGGAGAGGCTCAGGGGAGTTTACAACTTTGGGCTAGAAAAACCATTGAGTGCTCAGAATTTAGTGATCTGATACGGGAATTTGGAAGATAAGAATGCTGAGAATAATACAGACAATAGAGGCTTGGCTTGTGATATTTCAAAGTTTGAAAGTCCCACATATTCCCTATCGGAGCTGCTTGTGTGATATATTTGAATTAAGAATCTGTGTTTTTGGCCTGAAGAAATGGCTCAACAGTTAGGAGTACTGACTGCTCTTCCAAGAAGACCTGGGTTCAATTCCCAGCATCAGCATGGCGGCTCACAACTGTCTGTAACTCCAAGATCTGACACCTTCTCATAGACATACATGCAGGTAAAACATTGATGCAATAAGTCAATCAATCAAAAAATAAACTTAAAACAAAAGACTCTGTGGTTTCTGATCAGTTGGGGCTGAAGAATCAGCTGTGACTAGAGATAAGCACCCCTGAAACTGCACCTTTGCTTCACTGAAGCAATTGAAAACTCTGCTGTGACTAACCCAAAATCAGGATCATTGAGGTGAAATTTTCTGAGACATACTTCCTCAGGATCATCACACACAAGCTGAGATCTGTAGGGGTCACATCTCAAGTTGGCAGCTGAACTTGGTAATGTGTCTCTCGTGTAGTACTGGTTTTGAAGGCATGAAAGGATATGGAGAGAGAGCTGAGGCTTGACCCTGTGTGGCAGTGGTGGAGTTGCAAAATAGAGGCCACAAGAGTCCATTGGTGAAGATATAGCCTCAGTTGTAGTGAAAACCCCAGGATTGAATTGGTCATAGGGAGAGGCTAAGGCTTGGCACTGTGTGGCAGGTTTGGAGTC